ATGCAGCTGGAACATCTGGTGGTTTTAAAATCTAAAGCGATTACTGGCAAATGCCAGGCCTACAGCTTGTGTTCAGGTTAACTCATTGTAGAAAATCATAGTATCAACCCTAGCCAACGCCTCAACCATAAGAACAGGGGTGAGAGCTACAGTCCTTTTAAGGGTGCAAGTGGGCGGCTCTGAAAAGAGCCTTTTAGTGTTAAGCGGGACCTTGAAGCTTACGCCCGCTCGCCGCGGATGCGGCGCGCCAGCTGGATGTCCTTGGGCATGATGGTGACGCGCTTGGCGTGGATGGCGCACAGGTTGGTGTCCTCGAACAGCCCCACCAGGTAGGCCTCGCACGCCTCCTGCAGCGCCATCACGGCCGAGCTCTGGAAGCGCAGGTCGGTCTTGAAGTCCTGCGCGATCTCGCGCACCAGCCGCTGGAACGGCAGCTTGCGGATCAGCAGCTCGGTGGACTTCTGGTAGCGCCGGATCTCGCGCAGCGCCACGGTGCCCGGCCGGTAGCGGTGCGGCTTCTTGACGCCGCCCGTGGCCGGCGCGCTCTTGCGGGCCGCCTTGGTGGCCAGCTGCTTGCGGGGCGCCTTGCCGCCGGTGGACTTGCGAGCCGTCTGCTTCGTACGGGCCATGGCCGGAAAGTTCAGTGGCTGCGACAGCGGGCTGGCCTCCTATTTATACTGAGAGTCAGAGTCTGATTGGACAAAAGGAAACCAGCCAATCGTCAACCGGATTGGTTAAAAACTGACTTTTCGTTGTCACACCCCAATGTATCTTATGTAATTGTTCCAGACCGCGGTATATTTTTCCTGTCAAATTATTTGCAATTCCAGTAAAAAGCAATTTTTATTAAAACAAATGAAAATTACATAAGAAATGTAAACTTTTCGACCCAGGTTTTTGTTTGTAGATTGAAACAAAATGTACTTTAAACATTACAGCAAGTAGAAATTAAGATAGTTAACATTTTAAATTTTGCATTCACTCTTCAATAGCTTTATCTGTGCTTTTATCTTTCACGTGCTTTATCTGTACAGGGTGCTTTGATTCAGAGAAGCTACTTGTCCAGTGACTAGTCAGTGATGTGAAATTGTCAAAAAAGCTCCATAGTCACTCCCAATTTTCTATACGTTCCAATACCTAAATTGCAAGGTAAAAGCAAAATCTTATTTTATGTGAGCAATTCAACGGCCCAAAATTTCAGAGAAAGGCAATCTTACAGGAATGTGTTTTTCAATTTTAGGTAATGTAATTCCACACTATCATTTCTCTACCCTAGAGACATAATTCCTTCGCTCTTAAATCTACTTTCATGAGCCCATCAATATTTAAGCTGAATACTTGAGAAAAGTCACCAAAGTACAAAGTAGTTTTCTCAATAAGAAGCATGATCACTAAAAATCTTAATTTGTAATACAAGCATAAATTTATACTGATGTGACACCACTTTAGGCGAAACCTCAAGTCCCTATGTGAATCTTAGGCCTAGTTTCAGGTAAATCCTTTCATAATTAGTGCATTTAATTAAGAAACAGCAAACAAAAATGCTCCTAATTATCACAATTGGTATCTGGGCACAATCTGGTGTATATTCAGAAAGGGGTGATCCAGAGCGCATCCCAAATGAGACAGAGCAGTTGTAACCCAACTAACTTTCTTATATGAAGGGATGGTCAAGTCGAAACCGACCTAAGAGGGTAAATAAATACCAAAAACGTTTCAGAAAACTGAAAGGAGTAATTTCCACATTCCATCTAAACTCAACACTACGTGCTCAGCTCTTCCAAAGAAACTGTAGGTGGCTCTGAAAAGAGCCTTTGGTTTACGCGGAAGGTTTTGAAGTGCTGCAAAGGCCTATTTGCCCTTGGCCTTGTGGTGGCTCTCGGTCTTCTTGGGCAGCAGCACGGCCTGGATGTTGGGCAGCACGCCGCCCT